TTGAATGAGAAGAGAAAGGGCTTTCATAATTCACATCTATATTTACATTATATGTAACAAGATCTTTCCAAATAGATAAGGCTTTCATATTCTACATGTATATTACTTAAAACAGGACCCTTCTAAAAACACTATGATTTTTTACCCTGTGGCCCTGACCTTAAAGTTTTACCTAATTTTCAAACAAACATATTATATTTCATTATACCTTTTGATTGAGAATATAGATACGATTTCATTCTGTATTTGACATGTGCATTACCTGTTCTAAGATGTTTCAAGGCATGTTATGATGTGACCTTCGTGTTTGCCCCTAATTTTCTTTTTTTTTAAATTTGGTGATAATCTGTTGTTTTTAATGTCATATGAAAGGGCATTCACATTTCACAAAAAAATGCCATAAATAATGTCATCTCATGAACTAGGACACCGAAAGCGGGGGAAACACAATTCTGTTAATTTGCTTGTTATATTAATTTCTTATTGATTTTGTTTAGTGAGTACAGTTTCTTGCTTCCATGAATAAACTTTATCTTTGAATTTTAATTACGGACTTTTGATGTTTTCCAATCAGATCCAGTGTGGAAGTAATTCAGTGACCACAGAGCTTATCCCGAAGTTTCATGTAAACGTGTATATAGGAGGGTGGAAGTCGCATTTTAGGCATTTCCCTCGTCTTGTTCCCCATCTTCTTTTCCGTCCTTTTTATAAATAAAAAATAACTTTAAATTCAAAGATTTAACTTGATGAACTATTTAACTCATTAGTTCCAACGTCAAGTGCTCACCTTTTTACCGGGGTGGAAATTAATCAATTAATCTGTAGGGAAATATAATGTTGATAATTCATTTTACATCACTCTTTAACTGTCGCCGACTTGTCGGAAACAAGCGTAAATTCACGGATAGAATAAATAGGGATCGAAGTAATTTCGTTTTCTCTTTCTGGCATTTCTGTTCGCTATCTGAAGGTATCACTAACTACTTCTCTGCAAAATTTTTTTTTTCCTTCCTTAAAACTCATTATGACGTCATGAAAAGTACTTGATCGCGATTTTCCCCTGCAGCATATACACTTGGGACATTAAATACCATTTCTCGCCGTATTAATCGTCTGCAAAGAGAAATTGCATCCTTTGGCATTTTTAGCTTTTTCCCAATCAGACTCCTTAAAAACATGCCTGGTTTATATATGCATCTAACGTTGCATTTAGAGAAAGTTTTATCGGTGCGAACCTCGATTAACAGAGAGAAGGAGAATTCAACGGCAAGATATATCAGAAACCTTTTTTTTTAAGTTTAAAATTTTTAGCAAAATGCAATTTTTATACAATTATTTATATGTTGTTCCCCACTTTTTACTGATAGTGGGGGATATTAATTTCCGCCTGTCTGTCTCTCTGTCCGTTCTTCTGTCTCTCTGTAACACTTTCGTTTCCGCAATATATCTCGAGAAGCCTTTGAGCATTTGCAATGAAATTTTACAACTCCCTATTTTGAGGTCAAAGGTAAAGTTCATAAAAATTTGTCTGTTTTAAAACTGTCGTTTCCGTGCAATATCTCGAAAAACCTTTGGGATTTAGTAATGAAATTTCATACAGCTCCTAATGTCCTAAGAAAGATCCCTATTTATTTCTAGGTTGTAAATTTATACATTCTATGTGTCACTGTGTTTTGTAAAACTATCATTTCCCGCGCAATATCTCGAGAAGCTTTTGCAATCAAATTATTTATCCTAGCTTTCTATGTCCCTGACCGCCCGTACATGCTCTTTTTTTTGTTTTGTTACGTAGGGACGCATATTCTCCGACTGTTTTTTTTTTTTATCTTATTTGTTTTTCCATCTTTAACATTTGCAATTCACGGTTCAAATTGAATTAACAATTTAGAATTCATAGTGCATTTTTTTTCAGTTTTAAGCTTGTTTTACAGCAGCAATATTGTACTAGTATAATTACAGTAAAACTTTAAAGTCAATACACATATTCGAAAACCTGAAAATTGCTATTACCGTTGGCAGAATTTCAAATGACCGATTTATCAAAAATAAATGTTCTAAAAAATATTACCAAAAACCTATCATTGATAATATAAAGAAGAAATGAATTGCAACAGATTGTTGTGTATATGTTATACTTATGTATATATTATGAAAACTATACATGTTCATGGAATCGGCAAGGTATAGGTATGTTTGATACGAGTGGGTACTGAAAAAATCTTATCTTGGTTTATCATATAACCTATGAACATAGCATACATTCTGTTACGGTGCAAAAAATATGTTCTTATTTTCAATAAATTGAATGATTTTAAAATCACACAAAATGAAATTTATGGATTTGAATTTAGAAGTTTTAAAAAGTAAAATTCTGAATGATAGTTTCACAGAGGTTTTAGTTTAAAAACGCTGCACTCACCTTCCTGTGTTAATTTAACAGCCTGCTAAAATCTGAAAATAAAAACTCAAGCATCAGAAAATCAGGCTCCTTAATCGCAGAACTAAATGTCATCAATATATAGCGAGAGACCTTCATATTTAAACACGTGATGTATTGTTGTGACAAATCATTGATTATCTTCACGTCAGTGATGCAGCAAAATTTTTTACGCACACAGTCGAGTAAAGGTGTAAGTTTATTGGACTAATAAGGACCAGTGCCTAGACACGCAAAATCATCCTACAATAAAGTCATGTCAAAAATCTAATGATTCTTTTGCTTCAATGAGTTCCATAACATATTTACTGAGACACTGAATCAATAACAGAAACTTCGCCAACTGTGGAATAAGTCTTAGGTAATTGTTTCTGAGCTATTTGCATAATTATAATAAACACTTAAAGTAGTACAAAATACCCACGAAAGTTTCTACTCATTTAAAAAAAAAACACCAAAAGAATAATGTCACTATGTCAATGATAAATGATCTTTTTTAAGAAAATAATAACCTGCAACGCTTTCATCATATGTTGTTAAAAAGAAAATTAGAGACATCCTATATCTTGGTCATTCAGGATCCATCTACATGTACATGTCTTATGACCGTCAGTTTAATATTACAAAGAGTTTCTATTCTTTTTGTACACTAAAGAACATAATAATATTAAAAGGTCAATTACTGAATTTTAACAAAAAAGGCTGCTTTTATAAACAGCATCACACAAGTTCGCGATAGATCTGACGAGTGACCACTGGTAATTTTGAACGCTACTGGTCAGAAATTGATTGTATATATGTTGTATAACGTCCCCTCTCGAGAACTGGTCAGAAACCAGAAGAGCTTATGCGGTAGTAAGGTGACCTCCGTCCGTCCGTCTGTCTGTAAACATTTTTAAAATTCTACTTCAACAGTTTTGGCCTGATTTCAATATAACTGGGCATATGAATAGACTATACAGAGGTACGTAATTCTGAGTATCGGTTATTGACTACAATGAACGGTGTTGCCAGAAGAGGACATAGTGACAGCAGAGAAAACACAAGAGAACGCAGTGGCAGTAGAGAGGACACAAAGAGAACATAGTGACAGTAGAGAGGGCACAAGAGGACACAGTGACGGTGAGAAGAGGCACAGAGAACGCAGTGGCAGTAGAGAGGACACAGAGGACATAGTGACAGTAGAGAGGACACAAGAGAACATTGTGGCAGTAGAGATAACACAAGAGAACGCAGTGGCAGTGAGGACACAAGAGGACACAGTGGCAGTAGAGAGGACACAAGAGGACATAGAGGCAGTAGAGAGGACAAAACAGAATACATTGACAGTAGAGAGAACACAAGAGAACATAGTGACAGTAGAGAGAACACAAGAGAACGCAGTGGCAGAAGAGAGGACACAAGAGAACGCAGTGGCAGTAGAGAAGACACAAGAGAACGCAGTGACAGTAGAGAGGACACAAGAAGAGGACATAGTGGCAGTAGAGAGGACACAAGAGAATGCAGTGACAGTAGAGAGGACACAAGAGGACATAGTGGCAGTAGAGAGTGGCACACAGAACGCAGTGACAGTAGAGAGGACACAAGAGGACACAGTGACAGTAGAGAGGACACAAGAGGACATAGTGGCAGTAGAGATGACACAAGAGAATACAGTGACAGTAGAGAAAAGACAAGAGAACATAGTGACAGTAGAGAGAACACAAGAGAACATTGTGGCAGTAGAGAGAACACAAGAGAACATAGTGGCAGTAGAGAGGACACAAGAGGACATAGTGGCAGTAGAGAGGACACAAGAGAATACAGTGACAGTAGAGAAACGACAAGAGAACATAGTGGCAGTAGAGAGAACAAAAGAGAACATTGTGGCAGTAGAGAAAACACAAGAGAACATAATGGCAGTAGAGAGGACACAAGAGAACATAATGCCAGTAGAGAGGACACAAGAGAACGCAGTGGCAGTAGAGAGAACACAAGATTTAGCTTTAGCAAAAGATGATACAGTATCTATGGAAAGCTTGAATACTTCTTTATCAGTAGATCAACTAGACCAAATACTAAGTGTCCTTGGTGACATTCCATGCGAAGAAGTAATAGTAGAGCTCACATCTATCAGTGCAGAAAACAATAAATTAGATTTGAAAGAATCTGATGACAGCAGCTCTGATCAACTTGATGAGTCATCTGATGAGTATGTCCCCCCAAAGAGAAGTAAAAGAAAACGAAATAATTCTGATTCGTCCTCGTACAGTTCTAGTTCTTCCAGGGAAAGGAAGAGGAAAGTTAAATCTAGAAAGAAGAAGAAGAGCGGTATTGAGGCAGACAGAGATAAACTTGAAGACAACAACAATAACAGTGTTAATGAATCCTCGTCTAGTATATCAGGTCAAATGAAATCAAGAAGAAGAAAACAAAGAAATCCATCTGAATGGAAACGAAACAGAACCAAAAATTTACGAAACAAAAAGGAAAAACATACACAAACAACAGAGGCATTGTAATTCCTGCAAGGAAATCAAGGGAATTAACGTGTAAATGCAAGTACAAATGCTTAAACAAAATAACAAATAGCAAAATGTCAGAAATATTTCAAAATTACTGGAGCCTATCATACGATCGCCAAAGAGATTTCATAAGAACTAATGCAATTATGACTGAAAAGCGAAGAAAGACAAAAAATCCAGAAGAAGAGTCAAGAAGAAAACACACAATTCACTACTATCTGCCTCTTGATGAATGTAAGGTGGAGGTGTGCAAAAAGACATTTTTAGGAACACTAGATATTGGTGAAAAAACTGTAACCTACACATTAAAGAAGAAAAAGAACCCCTTCACTTCCACAGACAATAGGGGGAAACATGTTCCAAAAAATAAAATTGCTGTGAAGACAAACAGCTAATCAGGGAACATATTCGTTCATTTCCAAAAACAGAATCGCACTATTGCAGAAAATCAACTCAGCAAGAATATTTGGACAGCTCTCTCTCCATTAGAAAAATGTATAATCTGTACGTCGAAAAATGTAAAGACGATCACAAGGAGGCACAAAAATTCTGACTGTATGATAAAATTTTTGCGACCGAATTCAACTTAGGGTTTCACAAACCCAAAAAGGATATCTGTTCATTTTGTGATGCATATGGGAAAATGTCAGAAAAAGAAAAACAGAAAAATAAGCATGAATATGAAAAGCATCAGCAACGAAAGCAGGAAGCAAGAATGAAAAAAACAAGAAGATAAACAAAGAGCAACAGAGAATGAAATGATCAAGACCATAAACTTTGATTTGCAGAAGGTACTTGTTACCCCTAAGGCTCAAATAAATGAACTGTACTACAGCAGAAAACTTGCTACTTACAACTTCACTATATTTGATGTTGTTACCAAAGAAACTGTTTGTAACATGTGGTGGGAAACCATAGCAAAGCGGGGAAGTTGTGAAATAGCTTCCTGTCTGCTAGAGTACAACAGAAGTGTTGGATCAGTTGAAGAACTAGTGTACTATTCAGATAGTTGCACTGGCCAGCAGAGAAATTTACCATTTAGTGGAATATGCCTCTACTCTGTTGTTAATTTTCCCATACAAAAAATAACACACAATTATTTTGAACGGGGACACTCACAGATGGAGGGGGATTCTGTCCATGCCGTGATTGAAAGATCAACTAAACACTCAGAGATGTTTTCACCCAGTGATTGGATGCATGGTGTCCGCAATGCGAAAGTAAAGCCCCCTAGGTATGAAGTGAAAGAGTTGGAGAATGAGAAAGTTATGGATTTCAAAGAGCTTACAGATGATTGCATAGGCAACAGGAACCACGCGGAAGATGGATCGAGAGTAAAATGGAATAATATTCATTCATTCCAGTATCGAAAGGAAGAGCCAACCAAGATATTTTTTAAATACGAAATCAGTGAGCCAGAATATAATTCCATTGATATTCGAAGTGGACGAACCAGAGGGGCCAAACTTAGAAACATGAAAAAGTATCATCTGAAACCTCTCTACTCCTCCTTGGTTCCAATCTCAGATGCCAAATTCAAGGACTTAATGAATCTGTGCAAGAAAAATGTCATTCCACGAATCTACCAAAATTTCTATTCCCAGCTCCCTCATAAGGGAAGTGTCTGCAACATGCTGGAGGAACCTGATGAAAATGACGATTCAGATTAACTGGTATTTCCATAAATATCATGACAGGAACACTCTTTTGCTGTTCAATTTGTTTACCAAGTCTTTTTGTTTTTTATGCCAAGTAGCATTTCAAATACTCCAAATTGTAAATAACGCAGAAGCCTATTATTATTTCAAGAATTACACATAATGTACTGTTTAAATATTAACCTACTTGATGAACGATTTTCTAATTATCTTTCAGATGCTAAGAATAATCTGGAGACTAAGGGTCAGCATAACAAGTTAACATTATGTAACAATTCTTAAGAGCAAAAAAACTACATATTTTAAATGTTTCCCTACGTAAGCATTCAAATTAAGTGATAATGTACAATAACTCAAATTGTTTTTGATGTCATTATTATTTTTATTTAATTTGTTTTTATCAAACTGCTGATTCAGTTTATAAAAATTAATAGGTTCCTGTATTAAGGAGGTTGTTTTGATAAATAAATTTTAAAGAATATTTCTTGTTTTGATTTAGTAGCAAATACACGAAAACACATATAAACCGTTATCCTTTAGTTGAGTAACATGATAAACGTCATAATAAAAACATAATGTCAATAAATCATGATTCACTTAAGTTAAATTAATGGTAATGTTCTTATTACTTATATGCAAAAAGGTAGTATGTGGAAGTTACGATCTTAACCCCCGTAAAATTAATTTTATATTTCAAAGGCAAAAGGTCATATGTGTAAAAAATTAATAAAAATAATGGTATAAAACGCATTTTTAAACTTTTTAATCACTATCTAAAGATATTTAGCTATTCTGCACAATACTGAAAAGTTTAAAAGAACACTTTTAGTTTTTTCACGAATGAAACAGTTTTTTTTTCATTTTTCTCTCTTATTTGAAATCAAATGATGCACAGACTTACGACCTTTTGCTTCTATGGCGACGATATCTGTTTCAAAAATGAAAATCGCACAGAAAAATTTACAAAAACCTCATTATTATTTTAAGAATTCTGATCCTTTACTTTGTTAACCTACTTGTGTGCTAAGTATTTATTAAATTTAGAAAAAAAAAAGTAGGAGTAATGTTCCAAATAATTTTACGTTTCCAGGGAAACAATGCAACAAAACACCAAAAACATATAGTAGAAGTAATAATACAATGCAAAATCTATTCGTGTACTTATTTCAGGTTTTCATTTCCATTGAACTGTATGAGAAGTAGTTTCTCCAGCTTTTTAATTTTTAGTAACCATGACAAGACCGTTCGTCAAATTCTTAACATAATACACAAAATTATGTTTCTTAGTATAGTCTACTTGTGTACCAAGAATTTACATTACATGTAATATACTGTGACATGACTTTGTGTGGGTCAATGTTTAAGAGCAAGCAGCATTTTATTGAATTGTGGTTTCGTAATTTCGTGGTAAACTCTTATATACAGAAGAAATGTTGACAAAAATTGTCAGTGTTGGTGTCGCTTCGTACTTGATGATTCCACAGTATATAACATATGATTCTGAAAGTAAAAATCATTGTGAGAAGATTTTTTTTTCGCTGGTGATTATCTTTCCAAACTGTACAAGTAGCAATATCGTCATGGTTGTTAAAGAACCGAGCCCTGTACGTGTACGCCACAACATAATTCTGACATAATGCAGGCGATAAGAACTGTAATCTCTCTCTTTCTGGTATCAAAGGTTTGTTCAATTTCCATGTACGAAAAGAAAATATTTAACAAATGCATTAAGACTTGAATAAGGACGAGTCAGAAAGAAATCATAGCTTTTTTTATTGTAGGACAATGGACAAAATTTTCTTAACCATATGTTTAGGAGCTGTCTTGGGGGTCATCATGTAAGTACACGTTTATCATTCTGACCTAAGTCAATTAGACTTAATATCCATTAACGTC